AGCCTGGAGCCTTAATCCACTTTTGTTCTGCACCAAAGAACGCAGTGACCAGTGGCTCTGTGCAAAGCACGTGGGGCCACTGCCAGTGCACATGCAGCACATGAGCAAGGCCACCATGGAGAGAAGCCCTGCATGTAGGGAGTGTGAAGAGGCTCTTAGCTTCAAGTCTAGTTTTATCCACCACCAGAGGGTCCACACTGGAGAGCAACCTTACGAGTGGGGGAGTGCGGTAAAGCCCTCAGGTGCAGCTCCCACTGCCCGCAGCACAAGTGGATCCACACTGGGGAGAGGTGGCCGTGAGGGTAAGGAGCGGGACAGAGCCTTTGCCTTTGAACACACACTTTTATCACTGGGGAGAAGCCCCTTGCCTGCGAGGACTGTTAGGCCTTCGGGGAGAGAGATACTTGCATTCGGAGACAGAGAATTCATACTAGAGAGAACCCACCTGGTGTAAGGAGTGGGATAAAGTCCGTCCTGTGAGCTCTGCTCCAACCTGGCTCCACACTAGACCGCTCCCCCTGGGAGAATGCCAAGGCGTGCGATGCGAGGCGAGTGTGCAGGGCCTTCCGCAGAAAGTCTGTTTAAATTGGCATCAGCAAACCCACCCTTGCAAGACAGATGCAAAGAGGGCTCAGGATTGGCACAGCACCAGAGACTCTGTGACAGAGATGTGCTGTGGACGTAAAGATTGTGGACATCGTGTTCAGAATTCAAGCTTTGCTCGCTATCAGAGTATTCGCCCCTGAGAGGAAATTGTAAATGAAAGAGTTGGCTCGGGTGTCCCCACCTGCCGGCCAGTAGGCCTTCCTCTCGGCCTGGTCCTACCTCCAGCCTTCGAGAGTTGTCCCCTCCCTAGAAGCCACATATCCTCTCGCGTCCTCACCGACCTCAGAGCCCTTGCTCTTTCTGACCCCTAGATGCCTCCTCTATCCTTCCCCACTTCCGTTGGTCTTTCCTGGGCTCACATGGGCCCTTACAAGTTGATGATACCTTTTTACGATGTCTTGCACACACCCTTTTCTGCCTTGTATTCTTACGTTTCTTTCCATAGATGGCCACAGTACACTTGCTACCAGTTACATGCTAGGGTTTTGCCCCTGTGGGGGACTCAGGCTTCTTGGTTTTTGTTTGCTATAGCCAAGTTGTCCTTCCTCTCACGGGTGGAAATCACATGACTAAATAAAAAGAGGTCAGGAAGTATACACATATTTTCACTCTCAGTGAATGTGAGGCGTGACCATTTGAGTGCAGGGTATAGAAATGGTAGAAATGAACAACTCAGGAAGGGTGAGATTGAAATAGGAAGGGGCAGTATTGCTTTAAGAAGTGGACATCATCAAGAGTTGTCTGTCGCTGGACCTCCTAGCAACCTGGGTTGGGAACTGGTTCTGTTTCATTTTTTCAGGGATGATTCGGTCCAGGTGCCACATACAGCTGAATTCCAGCCACTGGGTTCATCTGACACTTCAAAAGAGACATGTTTTGAACAAAACTTTGGCTTCCCATCTGGGTTGCTCCCCTGGGTCCCAAGGAATAATTTCTATTTAGTCTCCATCTATTTTTCCCTCCCTCCACAGCTGGGTAGAACAGTGTTTTATGACGTTGTAAGCCCTTGTACGTTGGCTGTGCTAGACAGCACCTTCAGGAGTAGGATGATAGATTATGTTCCTTTCCCCTGTGTCCTTTTTGCAATGTTATTTTAGTCAAAGGTCATACACTTGGGGGGAAGTTGTGGTTAAGAAAATGCCATCGTGTGCTGTGTCACAATGGGGACGCATTCTGAATGTGTCATTAGGTGCTTTTACATCGTGTGAACGTCGGAGTGTGTTATGTGGGCAGAAGGTTAAATCAGTGCAGGGCGGGGTGAAGCAACCAGGGGTGCAGTAAACACAAGGCACCATGCACTGCGTCAGAGGGAGCTCCTGTGAGGAGGGTGCACCGGTGATCGAATGCATGGTGTTTGGTCATCACCAAGCGCCCGTCCTGTGCAGCTGACCGGAGCTTCTGGCTCTGCGTGTGCCCGGCCGCACAGTGTATCTGCTTCCACCGCTGTCACCACACAGAGAGGTGCAAAAGGTCTTGTGCTGCGGCATCCAGTAGCCCCCATGTGGCCAGGCGACAGATTTTCATCTCCATTGTGGGGCCACCTTGCACACGCAGCCTTCCACTGGGCTCTGACTGCAGATGTGGGCTGGGTGCTGATGCCCTGGAGCTGGGATCGTCACATCTCCTCAGAGACCGTCGTGTCCAAGGGCAGAGTGTGGACTCGGAACAAGCTCTTGCAGCTGGAAGAGCCTTGCTGTTTAAAGAAGTCACCAAGAGGAGATACTGAGGTCTTGTCTTAACAAGAGCCTGAGTCGATGGACTGACCTGCTTATTTCAACATGAAAGAAGTTTGGGAATGAACGGAAGGAGGGGAGAAATGAGTCTGGAGGGTCCGAATGCGGTGCACACGGGCCCAGTGCACCGTCTGGCAACTGCAACTGCCGGTGATAGATGGCTGGTAAATTGAATTCATGGGCTGTTTCTAGATGGGCGGCAAGAGGGAACTTGTCTAGCCAGGTGTGGTGGCACCGGGCCATAATCCTAGCTACTCAGGAGGCTGAGGCAGGAGGATGGCATGTTTGAGGCCAGCCTGGGCCATTTAGCAAGACCCTGTCTCTAAAAGGGCTGGGAATAAGCTCAGCACTAGAGTGCTTGCTTAGCATGCATGAGGCCCTGGATTCCATCACAGCACTGGAAAAAAAGGAGCAAAGGCCAGAGAAGAAAAGAGGGAGGAGGAAAGTAAGGAAAAGGGGGGAAAAAAAGAACTTGTCTGAGATCTATTGTCGAGCTCAAGAGGAAACCCGGTCAAAGTGAAGATGAAGCAGAGATCTCGCATTAGGCAGCTTGATATTAAGCTGGCCCAACCCGATTCCATTAATCTCTTGTATTATTTTCCCCAGCCTATGGAACACCTTCCACCTGGGGCACATTGGGCCACCTGAGCTGCTAGGGGACTGGCAGTGTTAGAGTGAGGCTGGCATTACCTGACTGTGGGTTAATGCCGGAGACAGCAATCCCTAATCAGAACCTGGGGGCCAGGCAGAGGGGATTCACATCATCTTGCTGGGTTCTAAAGTAGGGCTGTGTGTGCAACTGCTTTGCAAGATCACTGGGAGTGGCAAGACTTAAGGACGCATGAAATAAAAGCCAAGAAAACGAAATAAGCCAGCAGAACTCGAAGGAGCAGGAGTGGAAGACTGTGACGTTGCCACCAAGGTGAGGGGAGGAAACCAGGAGAAGGCGGAACTCTGCGCACAGGCGGAGCTGCGTGTGTCCACCCAAGATGCACGAAACTTACCTGGAAACTTACCTTCTCTCCTTCTGGCAATAAAAGTTTCTTCCATGGAGTAATCATGAAGATTGTAGGCTTTGCTGTGTCTTTAAAAATACTTTTTATTGAAAAATAAAATGATCATGTTATATTTTTGTCCTTTCCCCTTGCTGTTCACATTTTTAAAACTTTTTTTTAATGAAAAAGATAACTAACCACTGTGATAAGCTTCAGTCAAGATCTTAAACTAGTGCTTTTCAGCCACCCACGCTGAAGGATCCGTCCCCGCTCCCTGCTGACCTCTCCACTGCCCAGGATGTGCCTGGCACACTACACATGGGTGTATACCCCGTGTGGTGTGCAGCCGCTGAGCACAGATTTGGGTGTCAGCGATGTCAGGTTGCTTGGCCCAATTGAAACAGTGCAGCAAGGGTAGCTTCTGTTCCAGTTCTCCAGAGTCCTCATTCCCGCCTTACTGTCCACACTTCGTCAGCGTGTTGATCTTCTGCGGCCTCACCGAGACTGGCTAGGCTGATCTTACAGCATTCCAGGCCTTCTCCAGCCTGTGCCTCGGCTGCGGATTGATCTAAATGGGTCCCAAACCTCACGGGAGTGGAAGGCCAGGGGATCACAGGAGCAGTGGCCGCTTGGAGGCGGTCCCCGGAGGTGGGGCCTGGAAGGGTGCGGCTCCCTCCCCAGCTCCTCCCCACTGCCGGCTTCCCGAGAGCCCGGAGCTGAGCAGCTCTCCTCCGCCAGCCCTTTCCGCCGTATCCTTCCTGCCTTGCAGCCCCTGACTATAGACTGAAAACGTGAGCCGCAGCGAACCTCCCCTCCTGCGGGTGTTGGATGTTGTGTCTCAGTGCTGAGGAACGAAGACGCCTCCAAACTCTTTCAAATGCCTTCCATAAACTGGTTAGAGTCTACATTCTCGGGGGAATCCAGTAACAGCGACAAGCCTGCTCCTCAGTACCGTTTCCTGTCTTTCCAGCTTTCTACTGCTACAAATGAAACACCTGAGGTCTTTAACTCTGAGCCCAGGTTCCTTCTGGCTCGAAGGTTTGGAGGTTTCTGTCCATCGTCCCTCGACCCCATTGCCTTGAGCCTGTGGAAAGCAGCATGCAGTGGTGTGGGTGACAGAGGAGACCTCCGCTCAGGTCCTCTTCTCAAAGGTCCTGCCGCCTCCTGCCAGTGCCACCCTGGGGTGGGCCCTTCCACACGCAGGCACGCCTCTGGGGAAACTGACATAGCCTTTCAGGTTGCTAGGCAGCCGTGTGCAGAAGAAAGGACAGAGTTTCCAGGACGCCAGGTTGAGAGGTCAGCTGGCCGCCAGTTGGAGCAGCGTGGCCTTCCTGAGTGCCTCCGGGAGACGCTGTAGGATGGGAACCTGGCCGGACACACAGCGCGTGGTCACTCCTTGGTGAGGGACAGGGGGAGCCAGCTGTACACACTGTCCTGCTTCGTCTTAGCTTCCTCTCAACCCCGCGAGGCCAGGACACCATGGTCAGCTGGGGAACAGCCCAGCCAGAGCCAGAGCGGCGGCTGGGGAGTGGCGGCCTCCACGCCCTCACTATAGACAGTGCGTCTGTGGTCCTCTTGACCCTGGCATCAGCTTGGCTGTGTCGAGCCTGCCTGCAGACAGGGAAGCTCCGTGCATTTTTCCTCTGCCCCTTCGGAGGGGACCACTGTCCGTGACGCCGAGTGGAAGTCACGTTCCTATGACTGAGTGCATTTTCGGATCTTCGGCGATGGAGTCCACTGCACCACAAGCTCTTGCTCTGCGTAAGTGATTGGCATGGGGAAGAGTGCCGGGTCGACGCTGCCCGTCCTCCACTGTCGAGCCTGCTGCATGGGGCTGGGACAGGTGAGAAAGTCACCACGGCTTTATTGGACGCTCGCTGCTGAGCCAGGCTCGGTGAGGACACCGTGCAGGGAGCACCCGCCAGGGGTAAAGCTCCTGACTTTCATTGCCTGCTTAAGGCTTCCTAACTCATTTCCTGAGGTAGGCGCCAGTCCCACGTCACAGGTGTGGAAACTGAGGTGGGGAGGGCATGTTATTTGACTAAGGGTACACAGCCTAGTGTGGCAGAATTCACCTTTCAACCTAGTCTGTTTCTGCCTTTCCAAATTCTCTCTCCTCGTGGGACCTGCAAATCCATCGCACCTGTCATACCCTCCGGTCCTGGTGGGGCAGGTGAACCTACCTGAGGGACCTGTTTCTGCCATGAAGGGAAGGCTCCTACTAGTCTCGGTCTCTGGGGCACTCCCAGCCCAGCCCAGCCGGACGCTCGGGGTACCCTCCTGAGGCCACATCCCACTTCCAGGGCCTGCTAGCTCTCAAGAATCCAAGGTCCAAATAACAGCCAGCCTGAAAATCTCAGGGACTGGTTGAAAGCCACCAGCTGTTAGCAGCAAGCCTACCAGGCCAAATCTGGGCTGTAGATCTGGACCCAGCACTCTCCCACACACAGCAGGCAGCCCTGCAGCCCTGCCCAGACTCTACTATAGGCAGCAAGTGATCCAGGAGACCAGCCCAGACTCCAGCAGCTGTAACAGTGATCCCTCCTCCAGGAGAGAATCTGCTCCTTGTTAATTATCCTAAATGGTCAGCAGATTTTTCCTTCCACACCGCCTTTGGGAGCAGAGCCCAAGCTGGAAAGAGGTGCCAAGAGAGTCTTGTCTTTCTCAGGCTCTGTGGCCAGCTGAGGTGTGGTGTGGCCACCCTCGGCCTGGCCCGAGGCCCCCATGTACCCCATAGGGGACCTGGGTTCTGCTCCCGAGCTGGGCAGGGCTTTTATTGTGAAAGGAGCCCCCCTTCCGCCCAGGGGTGGAGGTTGGGCTGGGAGAGGCTGGGCCGGGCGGGGCTGGGCTGCAGATGGGGTCTGGCTGCACGGGAAGAGGGGACCAGCCGATCCCACGGAGCATGGAGACATGGTAGGAGCGGGGGCCAGTGGCCTTGGGTGGAGGGGACACGCGATGGGGGGACACCTGGCCAGGTGGCTTTGGGAGGAGGGGACACCTGGCCCGGGGAGGAGGACACCTGCGCAGGCGGCTCCCAGCACTGCCTCGCCAGCTGTCCTGGGTTTCATCCCTGCACAGAGCCAGGGTTCGCTCTGTGGGCACCAGGGGCTCACTCCTGACCAGCGCCGC